AAACACTATATATATTCGAATCAAAGACAGAAACCCAATCAAAGGCAACAAATCTAAACCCTAAACTCTCCAAAATTCTACTAATTAATTAGAGGCCAAATTGTTGGTTTAATCAAATTCTGATAATAAAATATTTATTTCAAAAAAGATGAATTTTTTATCAACATTGTAACCCTAAACCTAATGTAGATATCAAATAAGAAATTATCACTAGAGCTAACAAGTAAAAATTATCTTGAAACCTTTAATTTTCTTAATGCGTTTGAAGTTGTAAATTTTTGTCAAGCCTAATGATGGAGTATGAGAGAGGTTAAAAAGAGGAGAACAAGAAAAGAACGGTTGAGAGGGAGTTGGAGAGAAAAAATAATTGTTTTTAATTGTATTTCTTTTAAAGGAAGTTATTAATATTTAGTTTTAAATTTATAAAAATTTTTAATTTTATCTCATTAAATCCATACATTAAATATAAATCCTATCTAATTAATATATATTATTATTATTCAATTATTACATTGAGACGAGTCTAAGTCATTATTGCTTGGACAAAAGTGGCTAAGTGCAAAATTGGATCATAATTTCTCAAGTTTTGGTTGGCCTTCTGATTGATTACATAAATAACATATAATTATTGTATTTTATTATTATTCAATTATGTCATTGCACTTGCATTAGGGGTGAGCAAAATCAAATCAGACTAATTATTCACCCAAACCAAATGAGATTTGGGTAAAATGGTTTTAATTGGTCTGTAACAACTCTATTATATAGAGTTATTTTTACACATTTTGAAAGATTAAATAGTTAGATCTTTGAGATTTTAGGTTTGGATTGCAGCATTTTAGTTGTTTTCCTAATTTAAGTTTGATTACATGTTGAGTAGTTAATTTAAGTTATTTTAGTTAAATTTTCTATTATTTTGTTTTAAATTACTTTAAGAGTAGTTGTTACTAATTTCTTTTATTATTTTTTTAGGAAATTTGATGAAAAAAACTCATTTGATGAAAATCAGTGCAAATAGGGTGATAGCTTTATTCGTATATGTTTCGGTATTTTGACAATATCTCTCTCTACAAAACTCCAAACGAGGTGATTCTTAGACCATTAAAATTCTAAGAAGAAGCGATATGATGTTTATGTTTATTAATTCACCCAGTTCTAATTAGATCATGCTCAAAATATTTGTCGAAGTCAAAGCACTGCAGCAGTATGCATGGACTAAACATGATGCAGTATTTGGAGCCTATCTTTCAATCCAAAAGTCCAACTGACATGATTCTTGGCCATTGGAAAGCTAACAAATAGCGCTACAACTTTTATGTTTATCACTTTTCAGTTCAAAGCAAATCATAGTGAAAATCATGTTCAAAGTTGATAGATTGCGGTAGCACTGGGATAACAAGGTTGCAGCGTTGGTGAAAGGAAGCTTACCATACAATTTTCTAGAGAGCTCAGAGCCACAGCATTGCAATGCTACTGTAGCAAAACTCAGTGCCACAGTACTAAGAAATCAAGGTTGTAGCGCTAGCACTGGCGCTAGGTGATTTTTCAAAAATAAAAATTTGACGGGATTTTAGAAATTAGGTTACTTGGAGCCTATTTAAGGGACTTTTTTTAGAGGTTTTAAGGGAGAGGCAACAAGCAACTATTCTGGAGATTTGGAGCCAAGAACAAACCAAGAAAATAAGAGAATTGGAGAGAGAATTAAGATCACAAAGCTCCAACTATTAGTTTTCTCTCTTTAAGTTTTATCTTTTTCTTATTTTCTTTGACTTGGATTAGAGGCTAATTTTCTTTAGATGAAGTTTTTATTAGATATTATAAACTAAACTTATTTTTTTAGGATAGCAATTGAACTCAAATATAGTCTAAACTTTTAATCTCTTTCTTACTTATCCTTAATGGGATTTGATTTATTTCAGTTTGTTCTTAATACTTTAATTGCTTGATCACCAATTAAATTAATTTAAGAACCTAAACAAATATGGGAAAGGAAGTTTAGTGTAGAATAAAATTGGGATAGCATATGATCATATTAATTTATTTACGTATAGGATAGGGATATACTTATAGGCCTTATGTAGCCAGATTAGAGTCTTAATGAGTCTGTTTTAATTTCAATTCACATAGGATATAGTGTTTTGGTTAAAATAGATTTTTTGTAGGATGAGTCGGGAGATTCTTATAAATAATTAAGGACTCTAAGTTAACAATTCAACCTATTGAAATAAGTTAAGGAAGAGAGTTAAGATTTAGATGAAGTGTGAGGGATATTGTAATCCTAGGCTTGTTTGATTTGATTTATACCCAATTATCTTGTTGCTTTGATTTTTCTTTTTAGTATAAATTTTGGTTAATTAGTTTTAGTTAATTATTTGATTTTGATTGTTTGGATAAAATTAAATTATTCTAGTTTTAGTACTTAGTAAAATTTTAGATTAATTCTCAATGGGATCGATACTTTGCTTACTTATATACTATCTATTCTATACGTATACTTACGTAGGTAAAAATTTAACTGACAATCCATTGGATCAATTGGTCCAAAATGTTTGATCCAATTGGTTTTTTAGTCGGTTTTGGTTTTAAAATTTTTAGATCAATCCATCCAGAAAACCAAATTAATTTTTTATATATATTACATATATAATATTTTGTATATATGTATTAAGAAGAATTGATAGTAAACTTAATTAATATTATACTTAAAATATATTAGTTTATTATATGTACATATACAAATCATAACCATAACAATTTAATTTTAGTTATATATATATTTATTTATAAATCTATATTAATATGACATTACAAGTTATATATTTTAAATGATATAACTTATATGTTAATATTATAATATATGATAATAAATATCCTACATATTAATATATTATAATTATTACACTTGATCACACTTAATAACCTTATTAATTATCACCTTAGTTTTTATAACATATTGTTTACAATTAACTAGTATTTATACAAACTTTGATATAAAACATTATAACATATAAGTTCTGTCATTAATTTCATATATACATAATAAAGTAATATATTATATATATATATACACATATTTAATTTACACATAAGTATTATTGTAACTTCTAATAGACTTGATTTATATGATTATACTTAATAATTATTTTAGTTATCGCTTTAATTTTTGTAACATATTGTTTATAATTAGTTATTATTTATACAAACTTTGATATAAAAATTAAAATATTATAACATGAAAGTTGTGTCATCAATTTCATATATATAATAAAATAATGTATTATATATACTTATAATTAATTTATAAATAATTTGTTTATATTATAATTATGGATAAAGTTTATAACTTTTAATATTATATTTGCTAAAAAAAGTTATAAAATTTTGGTCAATTGGTCTAAAACCAAACCAACGGAACCAATTCTATGTTTGGTTGGTTTGGTCGTCTTTTATGTTTGGTCGTTTTGGTTTGCTTTTTAAAGATATTTGATTCATTTAGTCTTTAGGTATAACAGACCGAGCTACCCAATTTTTCAATTTGTTCATCCCTACTTGGCATGTGCAATGTAGTTAATTTTGAGGCAAATTCTACCTATATCTTTTTTTATTTCAATTTTTTTGCATGATGCCTTGTGATTTGTTTTTTCTCAATCAGAACCTTTTGGATATCTTTCTTTTTTCTTTTTTTTTTTTTCAGTTAGCATCCCATAGATAACTTTCATTCTCATAAGGCCATAGGCTATTAATTTTATCAAGTAAAATTACAAAAATATTCTCCATTCAAAGTTAGCTTATTTGTTTAAATAAGTGTATTTTATAGTTTTACTGAATTAAATTAACAAACCCCTTGTGAAAATAGAAATTATCTATAAAGTGCTACTGAGAAAAAAAAAATCACAAAGTGCTAAGTAGAAAAAGTGGAAATCATAAGAGATGAAGGTATAGTTTCTATTAATTGCATAAAAAATTATAATTATAATTTAAATTTATTTTTTTAAATTAAATGGTAAGTAACTGTCTCATGGATATGTCTATCTGTGCATACAATTTTTTGTCTTTAAATTGACTCATATGGCATTTTGAAAATACAAAAACAACTCAAAATCAACCTATTTCTTCAAATATTTCTAGGATTTTCTTACATCATTTTGGTGCAAAAAACAACCCATGGCTAGTTGTTCTTTAAAAAAAAGATGGCATAATGTCCAAAAAAGCTCCTAAAGTATGAAGGAAACTTTATATAAGTTCTTATACTTTTATTACGTTCAAATAAGTTCTTATATTTTTATTTTGAGTCCAATAAACTTTTATATTTTTATTTTGAATCAAATAACCGTTATGACTAATAATTTATTTGGTCAAAATATAATTTGTCATTTTATATTGCATGACGTTGATGTGACATACTAACATATATATTTGATGTGACATGACATGCTAATTTGACATGATAATATGATCATGTGATATTTTTCACCTCACACATCAACGTTATGTCAACACCATGTGGATATAAATCGATAATTAGTATTTTGACTAATAATAATTAGTCAATAATTAATTATAAGGGTTTTTTTGATCTAAAGTAAAAGTACAAGGATTTGATTAAATACAATAAAAGAATAAAAATTTATTTGAGTTTTCTTAAATAGTTTATGAGCTTCTTTGAATATTATGCAAAAAAAAAAAATTTAAATAATCGATGCTAAAATATACAATAATTTCTCTGCAGCAGCAGTAATGGACGGAAAGAAAAAAAGGATACACTAATTGCATAGGCTTCTGTCTTCCACGAAACATCACTCAGAACATAAATAAAATAGATGATACCATTTTATTTCACTTGAATAATACTTTGCAGAATACATTGCAATTTTATAAAGATACTACAACGGTATAACCATACCAGGTTTCTTTGCCTCTGTGTTGGCTTCTTTGGAACACCTTATTAAGAGGATATGACGATGGTATAGTTGAGTTTACTAAATAATTAATATCTCAGAGAAATGGGTTTACTGGCTTAATATACCTTGTCCAATTCCTAACTGAAACTAATTGGGTATTTCTCCTGTTTGTTTGGGAAAAACAGCCCCCAATGTTTCTCATATTCCGGTTCTTTCTCATTCTCATCAAACATGGCAAACAAGTAAGTTTCTATAGGCTTTCCTTGTTTCTTTGGAGTCCCTTCATTCACATGTCGAACCAAGTTTGTGTTATAAGTCCTTGCATTATCAACACTCGTTGCTGGTCCACCGTCTGATGGCCAACCGCTTTCTGAAACAACGATGTCCACAGATCCTCCACCATTCTTCTCTAGGGCAGAGTAAAAGGCATCCAGCATCGCGTCAAACAGGTTCTGGTATTGCAATGGGCCATCCGTCACTACAATAGATGGAGATGTAAAGAGAGCATAATCAAGAGAAACTTGTCCAGGGTTTTCAATGTGGCTAAAGTATGTATATGTGTTAACAAGCAATGGAGCTTGGTTGTCCCTCAAGAAGTTTATGACAGGAGCAAGAAGTTGTTGATATTCAGGATGAAAATTGCCATTTGATGGAGGGAAAGAATCTTTAAGAGCACCAAAAAACGTAGCGGTTGAAACTTTGATCTGGTTCCCTAGACCTGCTCCAACAATTGCATTGCGAATGTTCTGCATCGCTGGAAAAAGGAATTGTGCAAATGAATCCGAAGGCTTTACTTCATTCCCAACAGCAATGTATTGAAAATTAACATTGCTGTATTTCTTGACGTTGTCTTGGACCCATTGATCTGCGTTGCCTTGACTACCAGCAACACGTTCAAGGTGACCATTCGGAACATCTAACAGCAGCTTGATGTTGGTACCTCCAAGGGCTTGGAGAGCAGCTTCGTCTGGACCATAGAGTCGCATTCTTTGGATGTTTTTTTGTTGAAAGAGGGCTATAACTTCTGCGCTTGGTGGTAAGTTTTTTGCCATCATTCCGTAACAAACTCCAACTTCTGCACCTGCATTAGATTCAAGAACAGTTTTAACTTTTAACTTGCTCTTGAGGTAAGTGGAGCTTAATTAATTTAAGAGAACGATATCTTCTAAGAAACAAAAGTACACTGTACTTTTCCTTAAATGCCATGCACTTGTTCTCCAAAAGTATATATACGTATATATAACACAAAGGCACATAGACAAAATAGAGCCTAATGAATGTAAAAGGGAAGACCTGTGGGTTTCAAGATAGCCAGTAGCAACCCCAAAAGGAGCATAGTCGAATGCATGATACTGCATTTGTTAACCAAATAAGATTTACCCATGGAGGAAGAATGGAAGCAAGTTACAAGGGGAAAATTGTAATAGTATTTAGGTACGTGGAACTGCAAACATGTCTTCGACACTAATTCTTAGCGGCCTTTTATAGAGAAATAGAAAGAATTTCCTTTGCCAGGTCAATTACTCCTTGGAAAAGTAGGTACAGAACCAAAAATTCTTCCATCATTCAAGGCACATTTCGCAACTTGTTTACTGGGAGTTGTGACCTGCATACTCACAGAAAAGTCTTGAGTCGTCCATGTCCCTTTCTGTCTAAACCTAATTTTGTGCTTCATTGAAGAAACTATAGAAGTCAGTGTACACAACATTTAAAGAGGTAATTTATCTTGCAAGAACTAAATGTTTTAATTGAATTGTCAATTAAAATTTTAGTGTACAAGTATGCGTATTGAATAGATAGTATATAAGCAAGCAGAGTGTCGATCCCACAGAAAGTTAATCTAGAATTTTACTAAGTACTAAAATTATAATAATTTAATCTTATCCAAACAATCAAAATTAATTAATTGACTAAAGCTAATTAACTAAAATTTATACTAAAACGAGAAATCAAAGCAACAAGATAATTGAGTATAAATCAAATCAAACAAGCATAAGATTACAATGTCCCTCATACTCCATCTAAATCTTAACTCTCTTAATTTATTTCAATGAGTTAAATTACTAACCAAGAGTCCTCAATTATTATAAGGGTCTCCGGATTCATCTTATAAAAATATCTACTTTAACCAAAACACTATATCTCTATGTGAATTGAAATTAAAATAGACTCATTAAGTTCAGGTTCTAATCTTGTTACATAAAGCCTATAGGTATATCCCTATCCTATAAGCAAGTCAATTAATATGATCATATGCTATCCCAATTTTAATTTACACTAAACTCCCTTTCTCAAGTTTGTTTAGGTTCTTAAATCAATTTAATTGG